AACTATCCTAATAGAAACGTGTAATAACTGATTTATACATACACGTCCTATATTATATATTGCACATTAGTATTTTTAAAACTGAAAACGACTAGTGTTAGAATAAATACATATACTGTATACTCATAATATAGCACCATAAAAAATAACAAAATTAAAAGATATAATCATTAAACAACTATTGTGCAAAAAATAAAGAAATCTGAAATACACATACTGGTAACAAATGTGAATCTATACGATTAAATGGTTGTTAAAAATATCAGTGATTGCGAACAAATGTGAACACTATATCAACAGGATTTTGTTTTTTTTCTCCACAAAGAGAACCCTCATATCTGCACAGCTTCTTATGTTGTTTATTAGTCAGAATACCTATTGATTTTTCTACTACTTTTGTTCAAGATCACATTTGAAAAGAGTAAACCAAACAAACTGAACTCTTCATTCTGTGCTTTGCACTAAAATATAGCAGGCTATTTCGAAAAGAAAAGAATGACTCAATAACAATTTAAAACAACAGAAATAAAAAAAAAACAGTGGGTACATGTAAAACCACAACAAATGTGTACAACAAGCTTCTACGCCCTCCTCTTTCCCGTGACTGGGATGGGGGTGAACTGGGTTTCACACTTGCGTTTGTGTTGAAAGTAATTTTTTGATGTTTCAGAAAAAAAAGAAATTGCAATAAATATGAAAAAACATGCACAGTTATTTTAAAGACAACAAAGCTGAACACAGATGACCTGTGTTATTCCCTTGCCTTAACGTCATACGACACATTCCTCAAATAAATATTTTGTAATTCTTGGTTTTAAATTTTAAAAAAATTATGCAAAATTGTCATTCTCTTGTATTTTCTACATTATTTTTAATATGTTTTTAAATAGAAGTTCACAAAAAATCATGATATAGACCATTCATCAGATTACCCTTAAGGGTAATATAAGAAATATCACCCTGTGGTATCCTGTCCAAATGCCTGGTAAGGTACCCTAATTTTTTTGTGAGGAATCTTGTTTCATTACCTTAACTTCAATGACAAATTCTCAGGAAAAATTATAATTATATTATTGAGGAACGTGTTGTCTGGCCTTAATTCTCATACATGGATGTATTGTATGGTGGACAAGTAGCTTTCATACATGTTCAGATAAATGGGAAAAAAGTTTTGACTCATTGTTATGTTTGAGTAACATACATGTACATAACATAATCAAAAATAATTTTTCCAATGGCATTAAATACTGAGTTGCTTGGGAAATATAAGATTTTAAGTTTGTCATTTGTTGATAAAAATCTAAATTTACAGAATAACGACCAAAGATTTGATCCTTATTTCATTGTACCTGTACATGAAACACAGGTAAGAATTAATAACATTCCTTCCCTGTCAATGCTCAGTTTTATAGGGATAACCCTTATAGTTCACTCCCTGCTACTTCTACACTATATATCATACACCCACCTCTTACACTTTTTACACACATACATCCTCAGACTGCACAAAAGTAAAACTTTTCCTGAACAACTACACACTGAATGCAACTTATCAAAAAAATCATAGGACAAAAAATCTGTCCAAAGATATAACAGTAATAAAAAATGTTGCTTCTATAAAAATTGTGGTCCATTCTTGAGACATGGAAAGCACTGCTACTTCACATAATTCTGGATTTCACATGTGCTTAAGATATACTGGTAATTATTATGCCCATATCTGAAAAGAGAAAGGAGACCAAAAACATCACCATGATTAAAGGTATTGACATTACCATACACAGATATACAGATTCATATGTGCAATTTATTTGTGTCAAAGGAATTATTTGAAACAACTACATATATAATTGTAATTTTTGGACTTTTATAATGACCAAAACACATGTACTTGTGAACAAGACCCCCTTTTTTTGTATGGAACAATTAATTTGCATGGTTTTCCTAATTTTTTCTGTGGTATACAAGATGAATAAGTATAATAAAGATAATTTTTGAAGAAAATGAGTATTTCAAAAGAATGTTTATAACTTCATGTTGTCATTTCATGTTATTTCTAATATTCATTTAAGTTAAAAACAGATACAAACATGTCTAAGTCTATCTTTTAACCAATATTTATTGAAAGTATGTCAAAACCAAAGGAAGAATATAGTGTTATAAAATCAAAGAGAGTTTTTATATTTTTAAATGAATATCATATTTTTTTTGTTCTTTTACCAGTTTACAACATAGTTAAAATTCTGACTGAATCAAACAGTGACCTTGAGTGTGTAATCCCAGCTTCCTGTACAGAGTGCTGTTCCATCAGGAGACACCCCCAGACAGCTGACCCGGTTCTCGTGGGCGTACAATATGGAGACTCGGTGACCTTTGAGAACATCCCAGATGTTGACCGTGTAGTCATTGTATCCTCCAAACAGAAGCCGTCCTGGGAAACACAGGTAAACAGGTCAAACATAGGTAAACAGGTCAATCAGAGGTAAGTACTATATACACACAGAGGTTAAAACATTAACCTATATATATACACTGTATATACATATATATTGGGAATAGAGTCATGTAAATGAAACTGCCCAAAATGGCCAGCCATATAAAAAAATTGACTATTTTTTAAAAAAGACATACACCTGGCCCCAAGACCATAAACTAAGAACAGACTTAAGTCAAAATTTTGATTTTAATATCTTCAGTTTTATTTAATGTATTAGCTTAAAACATTGCAATTGTGCAAAACACTTCAGATGAAACACATGATGAAAATTTTATTTTATTATAAAAATTATTTCAAAAGTCATATTGATTTGAAATTTTGACTTAAGTCTGTTCTCAGTTTATGGTCTTGGGGCCAGGTAAAGAGTTATTCCTCATTGATACAGTCTTACCAAATCTATACCAGATCCTTTTACACAAGAGTTTTCACATATGCGTACTTGATGAGCGTACTTGATGATTTAATAATACTACTCTTGAAGGAGTGTCAAAAACCTGACTTGTACAAGTACTTTCTGATCCTGATGATCCCGATGTGAATCTAATTTTATATTACTTTTTAAGTTGTTTCACCAGTTTGAAGTTTGATTTGAACTTACATGTACCACTGATGGAATAGTGATCTGATGTCTAATGTCTAACTTGTTTCTTTTATATAAGACCTGACTTACCGCTGATTGAGAAATCCACAGAATTACAACCAAAGATCAGGCTCTCCTTCTTATAACAGTTCACCTCCCGGTCAGCTCGAAGGTCAAACAACCTGCACTGTAATCAAACAGTTTCAACTGTAAATTGATTACACTTGTTGACGGAGTTTAACCATGAAATATGAATAACATTTTTAAAATTGTTTCTGATGAGTAAATTCATAATATTATGCTTGTTAACCTAACCTTCATGATACAGCAGGGAATTCCTCCCTTGAAAATGTACCACAGAAGAAAATAATATCAAAATCATATCATCTACCATTCATGTTCTCTAGCAAAGATGCTACCAATGAAATAAACATAAAATTTTTTATGAAAATTATTTATGAGGTATGGCTAAATTATTAAAACATACTGTGGCGTCATCAGATCCTGTGGCGAAGGCATCTCCACTAGGATAAAACCTGACGCTGTTGATATCCGAGTCATGACCCTCAAACATCTGTACGCACTCCCCAGTCCGCATGTCCCACACATTGGCCACTTTATCACAACCCTATATACCAAGCACACTTTATTATCTTTATCTACTCCTCCTAAGCTGACATCATAGTGGAAATAAACAATTTTCTATATATTTTCAACTCATTGACGAGGAAGAAAACCTACCCCAGACACAAACATGTTCCCAGTCTCTGATGGTGACAGATCGATGCTCATGACATCACCAGCATGTCCATGGAAACTCTGTATCAGCTGACCACTCTCAACATCCCATAATGCACAGGTGCTGTCTCCACTTCCTGTTAAAATCTGTAATGAAGATGACATTTCTATATATTTACAAGATTTATATAAATAAGAAAACAACAATTACATGTAGCTACCAGTAATAACATGGCAGATACACTGTGTGACTGGTAACTGATTACCTGATTGTCTAAGGTGGTTGAAATAAAACAAGACAGATACATGTAATTAATGTGGGTGTGCAGGTGGAAAGTGATTGCCTGTTTATCTGAGGGAGTAACTGATATCCTGTTTGTCTGAGTTGGTAACCGATTACCTGTTTATCTGAGGCGGTAACTAATTACCTGTTTATCTGAGGTGGTAACTAATTTACTTGTTTCTCTGAAGTGGTAACTAATTACCTGTTTCTCTGAGGTGGTAACTGATTACCTGTTTATCTGAGGTGGTTACTGATTATCTGAGGTGGTGAATTCTGAGGTGGTAACTGTTTGAGGTAGTATCTGTCTGAGTTGGTTACTGATTACCTGTTCCTCTGAGGTGGTTACTGATTACCTGTTTATCTGAGGTGGTTACCGATTACCTGTTTATCTGAGGTGGTGAATTCTGAGGTGGTAACTGTTTGAGGTGGTATCTGTCTGAGTTGGTTACTGATTACCTGTTTCTCTGAGGTGGTTACTGATTACCTGTTTATCTGAGGTGGTTACTGATTACCTGTTTATCTGAGGTGGTGAACTCTGAGATGGTAACTGTTTGAGGTGGTAACTGTCTGAAATGGTTACTAATTACCTGTTTATCTGTCAGAGGTGGTTACTGATTACCTGTTTATCTGAGGTGGTTACTGATTACCTGTTTATCTGAAGTGGTAACCGATTACCTGTTTATCTGAGATGGTGAATTCTGAGGTGGTATCTGTCTGAGTTGGATTACCTGTTTGTCTGAGGTGGTAACTGATTACCTGTTTATTTGAGGTGGTAACCGATTACCTGTTTATCTGAGGTGATGAATTCTAAGGTGGTAACTGTTTGATGTGGTATCTGTCTGAGTTGGTTACTGATTACCTGTTTGTCTGAGGTGGTAACTGACTGAGGTGGTAACTTATTACATGTTTTTCTGAGGTTGTTACTGATTACCTGTTTATCTGATGTGGTAAATGTCTGAGGTGGTAACTGTTTGAAGTGGTAACTGACTACCTGTTTATCTGAGATGGTAACTGATTACCTGTTTGTCTGAGGTGGTAACTGATTATCTCTTTGTTTGAGGTGGGAACTGTTTGAGGTGGTAACTCATTACCTGCTTATCTGAGGTGGTAAATGTACAACAGGACAGGTAACTGGTGTGGGTTGCTACAGCTCTCTTTTTGGTTGCTGGATCATCATCCATACTCAGAGGGTAAATTGTGCATTTATTGTCTAATCCTCTACAATGAAAAATTAAGAACAGTCTGCAATATTTTGAATTTGTAAAGGAATAATCATCTACAGTAATCTGCAATAACAATTCAGGTTTGAAATTAACTTTTACGAGCACTAGACCAGTCCGGCTACTTCCCCTAATTTTTACTAGCCCTGATCGTAAAATCACTAACCCTGACCAAACCCGCAAATTTATTTCTTAAAATGGCTAATTTTAATATTAACGACAATTTTGAAAGGTTTCAATCTAGCCAACTGAGTCAGTTTCATCAAGACATGCAAGTATCGTAAGCTTTAAAAATAATTCAAAGAAACTTTAATATTTTTTTATCCTAAATATTAATAAATTTATCGCAGAATATATTTTTTTCAGTAACTATTTAAACCATATTGATACTGAACGACACTAATTTCTATCATGACTTGTCTATTACAGCTGTGGGTAAAAATAGTGATTGTGTCGTATGTGGACTTTTTTCTATACAGAGCCTTAGCCGTGTTTACAATCGGACAAATTTAGAAAAATTCTTTTAAAGTTTTTGGAATATTTTTTTGAAAGACTAATTTTGGTTTTAACAGTTATTTTATTAACCCAACCAATCGATCTAGTTCATGTACATTTTACATGACCGGCAGGGGTTCAAAAATCCTCAAGCCCGACGTCCCGGACTAACAAATTCCGGATCCGGACTCGGCATTTAGAATTCGCCAAAGTCCTGGGACTTGGCTATGTTTCTTGTTTATCTTTTTTTATAAGTTAAAAAAATGATCGTAAAGCTAAAAATAAAGCAAATTCTCAAATGTATTAAGTAAAAATGTGGGTTTGTGGGTAAAATACCCATAAAACATTACGAACGTTTCGAAAATACAATCCGTCTTTTTATTTTCCGTTGCGGTTAGACTCTTGCTTTTACGCAATTCCTCATGTTTCCTCCTATATGACAAACGGCAATGAGTTTGTTAAATTTCGGTTTTAGCTGTGACTTACAGCACATTCTAATTTCTACTTATTGTAACAGATGGTTTATTCAGTAGTGAGTATTTGTAAAAGTTATTGTAATGTACAAGTGATCTATCAGTCTGGTATTGTGTTGAAATACTCATGTATGACTATCTGACAGTTTATGGAGGAAAAATAAAATATATATTAATACATATAGTCTTTATTTATTCAATGCAACAAATGAAAATAAATTATAAGTTACATAAATTTAATTATGTATAGGTATATATGGACTCTGAAATTTCTTCCTCGGACTTGCCTAAAATTTACTCCGCAAGTCCTGGACTTGACCATGACAAAAAAATTTTTGAACCCCTGGACCGGACCACTCATTTACTAGACTGGGTCAGTCGGACGTGCCTTAATGTCAAACCCTGCAATTGATGTATATCTGTATTGATATTGCATCACTCACCCACAAGCAACCACTTCTCCAGTTGGGCCATATGAACAGGCCATCACCCATGTGGTGGGCATTGTGACAGCATGTTCCTGTAAAAAAGAAATAAAACAGAATATACCATGCCTCTTACTGCTCTGTGCCCAAAGAAATACAAAATAAAGAGAAAGACTAGCTACTGTACCTTATTAGTGGTGAATGCATCCCAAACTAACATCTTTCCATCCTGAAATAATCAGTGAGAGAATGCCTTAAGATGTGTTTGTTAAATCAAATACAACAGAATACTTCATGGTGTTTTTTTTTTGTTGACAAAGCATCTTAGAAGAATTAATTTACAAATAGAGATGTATGTTCAAATAATTCAACACAATTTTTTCCCAAACTGAGAACTACAACACTGTAATCTGTAGAAATATCCACTCTCCTTCCAAAAATCATGACTAACTGTAACAGTTATGTGTTATTTCGTGATCAAAAAGAAGAAAATTCCATTACTTTGTATATTTGGGCCACTATTTGTATTTATTAACATATCTGGCATTCCATTAGATGAAGTGCCCTATAAAACTTTAAATTCAGTTCTGACACTCCTTATGCAGGGTCACTTCTGTAAATGTTTATAGAATTAAGTATAAATAGATTATACATCACCCTTCCCATACATGTCTTAGTATGTAATCTATATCATTGATAGTGACACATTACAAAAGCCTACCTGTGAAGAACTGACAATATGCCGCTTGTCTTTGGACCAGTCCATACATAACACTTTTCCATGATGCCCCTTTAATACTTTTCTGGCTTTCATATTAAATTGTGTAATGCTGTCAATCTTCTTAGTGACCTCACCCACTGTAACAATCAAATCAAGTGATGAAAAATCAAAGAATCCAAAATAAAAGATGATTTTGTACATTAAGGATCACAGACAGATGTATCAAAACTTAGTAAATACTAGTATCATTGCAAATATACAAGTTTAATCCATTATTTTATACAAGTCACACTGCAATCTGAATAAAACTAGATTTTGAATTTTGCCTTTATAAACTTTTAACAATTTTCACTTTAAAGTTCTTCATGGTATTTCTTTGATATTGGAACAGAGGGACTTAATTGCAGGTGCAAAGTAAATGGAACTGCATGACTAAATTTCAGCAAAAGTTCAGATTTAATTATTATCAACATATTTTTTATGCATTTATCTATATGCTATATTAAAGTTAATTCCACATTTTATTTGTGTCCCAATTAATTTGTCACAAAGTACTTAAATTGCACTTAAAAGTTAATTTAAATGGCAATCAAAGAAATCCTCAGATTTATTTACCCCTGGATTGAACTTAAAATTTGAATTCTGAGGAACAATTACCCCATGAGGAAAACATGCATATAATAATAATTAACAGAGTGTTTCAACAGAACATGTCATGTCTGAATACTCATACAAAGTTTTCCAATGGAGTACTTGTTAGAATTTTGCCTCTCCAATTGTTAACAGGTCTAGTAACTTTAATGATGCTTGTGTATAAGGTCTCATAGTGAGTTGATAAACCCTGAAAGTGGACAGGTCACAGGATTCAAATCATTCTATTGATTAAAAAAATTCAGATACCTGACTTATGATTTTTTAATATCTCTATTTTATCCTCTTTTTCTGGATGACATATGTTGTGTATTGTGACTGTGCGTTTTATATCTACACCTGACGTGTTAAATTCAATGACTAAAAGAGATGTTTGGGAAACACTTATGCCCCCCCCCCCTTTTGCCTGGACATATATGCAAAGAAAATCAGCAGAAACTGCAAATTACTGAAATTCCAAGTCCAAGGGGCTTAACTCTGTTGAAAATTGCTGGATTGTATCCAAAACAGAAGTTGGCCAAGAAATCTGTATACCAAATTTCATTTCAGGTGGCCTAATGTGCATGTAAATCTTGTACAGCTGTCTTTGTGTTTGACATCAGTGGGCAGGGACTGCGGAAATTGGCATGGCAGACCTCGTGTAATATAAATTTGTTAGTATAGTACTACATTTTCAAAATTTAATTTTACAATTTTATTTCACAATGAAATGGAAATATAGGAATCACTGTCTAATTATTAGAGTATGACAGGAACATCAATGATAGACAAGTTTGAAAAATGGGATAATTTTTGCATAACAGGCTTTGCCATTATGCAAATTATTCCACGTTTCCAACTACTGTTAATGCCCTGGCATAGTCTACTAACTAGATAGGGATTCCTTAAATATACTTAGTATATATAGTACCTTGATTTTACACAGCATAACTTGATAAGCAAATCAGCACATGCTAAAATTAAGAGTGTCATTCAATCAATTCTGAGCTAGATCTCACTCGAAACCAGGAGGGAAAAAATAATACTTATTAATAATTGAATTCAAGAGTGAATCAAATGAAAAGCCCCCCTCCCTCCTTTCCCACTGCCCAAATCCATAATGGTGAGTGTCAACCCATGAAGCCTAATTGTGGGGTTTTTTGTTGATGTTTTTAAAAAATGTTTTTGGACATTAAAATAAGGAGGTTTTATTATTTTAAACTTTTATTCGGTATATTTAGACAGACATGTTTTTGTGGTGTGTGTACACACATTTGTTTTATCTCCTTAACCAATCAATCGATCTCATTACTTCCCTTTCCTCTGACATTGAGCGACATTTTCCTCAGAAGCCCTTACGTACAGCATCCCCATACAAATCAAAACCCCATACTTACTGTCCATATCTGCTAGCTTTGCCTTTTCTTCCTCTAACTTTTTCTTGAGATTCGCAGCCTCGGCGCTCAGCGCATCCACAGTGTCTTGATTATCAATCCGGAGGGCTTCTGTTGCCATTTTCACAAGTTTCCCTGCACCCGGAAGTATTTACTGATGCTCTGGGTTTTGCCGAAGGGTCACTAAATTCCGAATAGGGATAATATTGTTAATTATGAACGTTCATGTTTTTACTGAGAAAAAAAACTACATAAGGACATATCATTGCTTATAATTGGGGCACTAGTTAGAGAGGAAAATCTCTCAGACTGATCATCTGATGTAAACAAATCAATGTCACTCTAAGTATAGTGTAAAGAGTCAATATGAAGGGAAAATAAAATTCCGAAATCATATAAACTGATAAATGGGTAGCCACCTTTTGCTTTCAATGATATTTTAAGGGTTTAGAGTTTTAGACCCCCCCCCCCCACACACACACACACATACACAAGGTTTAACAAAAAGTCCCCTGCGTACATGACTGCCAAAATCAAATTGATGATGTAAATTGTTCTTTTTTAGAATTTTCCTCTGCACATAAACAAACTGAATAAAAGTGAAGCACTTTTATGTAAAGTTTTTACACAGGTTTACACTTGTTTCGGTTTAATTCTTATAATTCCAATTACAATTTTTTTTTTATTAAAATTACTCTATACGTTATTTTGTACATGTACATGCAAAGAAACTTAAAAATTAATATTAAAATCCAACTTAAAATGTCAAAACAATCAATAAATAAACTTGCTTTTGAATGTAAAATATACGTATTATCCAGAATACTTATATCAGAAATAATTTTTTGCTTTTCGTTCAAAGATAGGGAGAGTAGAATCTGTAGTTTAAATTATATATTATAAATTGATTGATCACAACAAAACAATTATATACAGCATGATCGATTTTTTAAAATTCACACTCGTGATCCTACAGTGACAAAAATAATTTTCTGATATCGTTTATCTCCTTTTCATTCATTATTTATTTATTTCAAGTTTCTTGTAATCATAATAGAAAACACACATTGGTTTTACAACAGTCAAGAAAGTATCTGATTGAAAAATTCATCGATGTGTAAATATGTCCAATCAAAACACAGGGAACATAAATAAAAAAATGGACTTGATGACGTAGCACCGTTGATGTAATAATCAAAATTTATACATCTGTGTCTTTGAAAACATTTAAAAAATTACATCAAATGAAAAAATTGACACGTGAAAATAACTCTTTTTAAAGATTAGTCAAATTATCAAATTTTCCATCAAAATGTAAAATTGCAACAGTTTCAAAACTTAGTTTTAATCAATCTATGATATGATCTGAATATATAACAAAAAGTTATGGGAAAATTGAAAAATTGAGGTCAGAATATTTGTTACTCTGATTAAGTGTTAAACATAATCTAAAGTAAAAATTAATACTGGTTTTAAAAAAGACATGTAAGTAGGGAAATAAACTTAACTGAATAAACTGAGTTGGAAAAATATTAGATATTGGTTACTATATGTGTTTGTTGCCATGGAAAATATAAATTCACCTACTTTTCTGAACCTTAAACCTACAGGCAACACACAAACAAAATAGATATTATTTAGAAGATTTATGTAATACATTACATTATGAATGAATTTTACATGAAAAATTTCGGTATTCAGCAATGCTAAGTATAGCACTATCACCAAAAGTTAAGAAACAATAAAATGTTTTAATTCATATGAAAGGTAATAGAAAATAATTAGGAGCCGCAGGGGGGGGGACATCCCCCAATAAGAATTGTTTTATGAAAAAAATTGCCCCCCCCCCCCCATTTTCAAATAGAACTGTAAATGAAAGGTTTTTAGTGATAAACATTCCTCCCCAAAATAGATTTATATGTCTTTATTCTGGATTAGGTAGGTTGTTAAAAAAAATAAAGCTGTTCCCTATAAATTAAGTTGTGTTGTCCACCCTTCAGAAAATTAAGTCCCTGCAATATGAGGTTTGAATTGTGTGTGTCATCCATCCATAAAATAATGCCTAGAAATTGAACCCACCCCACACACAGAATAAATAGTGCACACGTGTTTTTTATAATGGGGTGGGGACATAGCAACATGCAGTCAATATTGCTTCATGGATGGTGATATTCCAAAAAATATTTCAAGACTTTTTTCAGTGTAATTATACCCTCAACTACATTCAATAATATGAAGATAATACACGTTTTAGGATAAAATCTGAAATTGTTATCCCTTGAAAATGATCATTGTTGACCAAGATGTAGCCGAATCAAGAGTAATGAATTGCATTGCAATTCTCGTGAAATGTTGCAAAGGAATCGCAGTTAATAATTTTATATTGTCAAATATACAAATGTAATGTTACTTGAAGAGGGTGGGGGCTATTGAAAGCACACAGTAGGTTATTTTATTCTTATTGATAAAAAAAATCTAAGGTCAAATTAAAGCACTTACACAAATGGTTCCAAGAGAGCAAGCCAAGTATTTGTTTCAAGGAAGAATTAAATGTTAAACTCTTGGTAGATACTGGTAGTCAGTTTTTACTTGTTCAAATTCCTATGAAAAGTATTATTGTTATATTTTCCCCAAATATTTTTATCCTAACAGAGATAGAAAATAATTTGACATTCAAATTAAGTAAGGAGTCGATCCTTACGTTGCGGGTTCGAATCCCACTGTGGGATGTGGACTCGGATAAGACCGTATAAAATATACTGGCGCGAAAAAGATCCCTCACTGCTTAATGGCCCTAAGTGCTGAGTATGAACAAAAATCTGGCAATCATATGCATGAAAAATCTGGCGTTAAACAATATACAATTATTTTCACATAGCACTGTTACAAAGCACTTTGAAAGTGTTCCAAATTGTTCACATTCTAAAGCATGCTCATGGAAACGCCTTTATCACCAGTCCCCATAAAATGGAGCTTCAAAAAGTTCAGCATCAGGCATTTTACTGTTGCATAAATGACCATATGATCTACAAGGAGAAGTTAAGTTTTTAAAAATAGGTTTAAAATATTTTGTTAAAAATTACATTAAGAATTCTAAAAAAAAAAAAGAGCATTTAAGCATTTAATTCTGTCTAAACGACTCCATTTGAATTATTTCCATTACTATAAACATAATGCAGCTTTTGTACATGTATATATAACTGTGTATAGAGAAAAAGGTCAATATTTGGCTTTTTATATAATTCCTGACTCTTTACAAAAGCTTATTAATAAGCAGTAAATCTGGAGAGCAAAAAAAAAAATGTTTGAATCACACAGTTCAAATTTACAATGTAAGTTCCGGAGATGCCTGAATGGAATTAAATATTTGATTTTTTTAACTTGGAGACCTTCAAATCAAATCCTGCTCATGTGATTCCATAAATTCTGTACTCTTTATTTCAAAATGATAAATTTCTATAAATTGTCTAGATATTTAATCAAAATATATTCTGTGATGATGCATGTTACAACTGATCTACATTTCGCTGATAAGCTTCCTTGCAGAATTCTTTAGAAAAGGCTGTTTTTATTTATTTTGTATACAAACTGTGTTCCATACATTTTTTGTTTCTTGTGTATAAATTCCAAAACTTCTGGGGTATAAATATCCTTCAGGTGTTTTCAAATAAAATGAAAGTAAACACATTCACATTTAGGAATTTCACATACATATATATATTGTGAATACAAACAGCATTCCATACTTTTTTGTTTACATGAATGGTAATTGCAACCATTATATGTGTAGATGATACTTGGCCGGTGTGGAAGTCAAAACTTCAATTCTTTGAAAATCAAAATTTATAATTTTTTTTATTTAGTTATGATTGCATAACAAACTACAGGTTAAAAACAACAACTTTTAATGCTAATTGGCTATTGTTTACAGGTGACTGTCATCCATATGAGTGAAAAACGGTGTGCAAATGGGTAAATCTAAATTAAACAATAATACAACTTTCCCCTCAGTGAATTTTTCAACTTTTTATAAGTTACTAATAGCTTATCTACAAATCTGCATTAAAATATAAATCAATAGGTAGAATGATAAATACAAATCGTGCTAGGAACCTGTTTGATAGATTGTTTGCTGAATGGTAAGTTACACCTACATTACTAGGTAGGATGTGAAATTGTAAAGATGCGATTTTGATTTTTCCATACTTTGAAAATTCTTCTGGCTTAAATGCGGGTTTTTAAAATAAGACACTTCTTTTTTTTTTAAGTTTGATACCCTTTATGCATTTTGCAACAATTTTCACAAATAAAATTTATAAAATGAAAGTTTTCGAGACGTCAAAACCAGTTATGTAAACACATATATTTGGGTGTAGCATAGGATAAAAAATCATATTTTAATCAGTAGACCCCCCCCCCCCCCCACACACACACATACACAAAGTGTAAGTGTACATGTAAAAAGGGAAATTGTAGTTCCTCTGCACATAAAGACTGAAAACTTGGCCTTTTTACATAAATTTTTTTTTAAAAAATGATAATAATACATGGCTTAAAAATTTATTTCCGATACAAGTGTATGTGCTTTTGATGTAAAATATACATTTACTTATATCAGAAATAATTTTTTGCTTTTAGAAAATAAAAGAAAGTTTTTATATATTATAAATTGATTGAGCACTACAAAACAATTATATAAATATCTTATCTGGCATCAAAAATAATTTTCTGATATCTGAAATATTTTTTTCTTTGTTCCTGTTTATAGATAACACACGTACCATCTTACATAATATGCCCCAAACATTAAAAATGATACAAATGTAATAATAAATTATACATGAACATTTAATAAAATTACTATGAAAAAATTATTTTAAAAATTTTCTGGTAAACAAATGACGTCATAAATCACGCTTTGAGCAGAATATTTGTTACATGTATAGCTTTCATATTCGAAAAATTAATCACTGGAATGGAGGTCATTCAGAGAAATATTTTATTTTCATGGCAAAACAAACAAAATACATGTTTTGAAGATTTCGTGGCCTAGCTACAGTGCGTTATGCTTAAATTGCCATTTTCAGCTAGAACTTAGTGATAAACAATGAAAAGAATAAAGTAATATTAAGACGAGGTTTGAATTGTGTGTGTCATCCACCCGCCTAGAAATTAAAATTTTCACACAGTGCGAAATTTTTCATTGAAGATACTGCTGCCTCTTCTTTCTGTTGTGTGTCACAAAAATTTCAAAAACGCACTTTGGTCAAAAAATTCATATTCCATGACACCCCACTATATGAAAAAATTTTTCACCGAGGAAAAAAATTTGACATTCAAATTTTTTGAAATATATAAGTGCAAAATCGATCTCAAATCTGCCACATAGCACGTAGATTTTTGCAAATGATATAGTCCTGGCTTGACGTTCTTCCCACATACTGCAACAGTGCTTTACACAGCCACGGGAGCAGAGTGCTGAGCACCACTCCTCGCCCTGATAACTCGGTGTAGCGATAAAAACTTATGCCCAATCTGAATTTATAATCAAGCTTTTAGTATATTGAGTGGCTTCAAGATGCTCCACCAATGCGCTTCGACCTCACAGAAGTTATTTTTAGCCCGAGATAAGGAAACGGCGGTGGGGCTTTCTTTGTGAAGCTGGTTGAAGTTCGCTGAAGAAAAATCAGGTCTGTATTGTTTACGTTCTTTCCTCAATATTTATCCTAAATGTGTGTTGATTGTTTGGTTGTGCTTTATATTAAGTGAGAAAATTTCCCTCTTTTGCCAAACTAGATCTTGTGGTTAGAATATAAGAAAACATATGTAAACACAAAGAAATTGGGATAATCGTTTGATAATATACTTGTAGATTTGAAGTTCAGTTCGCAAAAGTATGTATGAAACAATAATTATTTTAGATTTAAGTTAGCAATGTATCCGATAAATAAGTATACTTTCCTCAATAATGGTTTATAATTAAAAAAGAAATTTGACTGAGGATGGGGTCCTCATGACTCAGAACTGTCGGTCTGAGAGAGTACTGCTTCAACACGTGCGGATATCCATTACAAACAAAAATATTGGCACAGATGTCAGAAAAATGTCCTGTTGCATGTTTAACAGAATGTTGTGCCACGCAAGTAATTCGTTTAATGCAGGTCTTAATTCATTATTAATTTATTTATTTTAACATGTATGTCACAAGATCAGAAGCTTGATCGATAGATCAAAAGAATGGAATTTCAAACCATTGAAAAAAAAATAATATATATATATATTTTTCAGAAGAGTAATTACGATAAAGTTTATGTTCAGACACTGACTACAGAAATGCTTCCGAAGAATCTTCTATAAACACTGACTACACCAAATAATTCTAACTGAATGTTCTATAAAGTTATTTTTGACAGCCATTTTAAAGTTCTGGAGATCGACGTCACTACCTTAAAATTGATAATCATCAGGATCGTCATATTCTGTGGGGAGAATTTGATATATGTTTCTAAGTAAGTGATAAAAAAGAAATCTTAAGGAAGAGCCGCTCGATATAATGCCCCCTGTCGTATCTCACCCTTCATCAATCTTACATCTCTCATCGCCCAGCCAGGTCCCGCTGTGTTAGCCGAGTATGTCATTCAGTTTGGATTTGCAATTCTAATCGAAGCAACTGAACATGCACCAAATAAGAGATAAAGTTAATCAGTAATGTTCACGTTCACGCCAGCAATAACACAACACTCGCTAAATCAAAAGTCTATTTGTATTTCTTTCTTCCAAATTTCAAAAAAAATAAAAAGAAAAATTAAGAAATCGGAAATCTGCAGTACTTTATTATTGTTGGCTGTAACAATGTGTACAACACAGAGGCAGTTAAGAACCGTGCACTCCTAGACCACTGCTTAATGAGTGCGATCCAGAGGAAGAAACCCCTTTAACTTCCCTTTTACATCTTAGCTCTGAATGAGATTTATATGTATTATGTAGTTTCATATGAAGTAGGAGTAATTGTTTCCTGAGGATTTAATAACTTTATACTTCAACCTGCTTCTATAAAGACAACCGGAAGAGAACGTCATGTAATGCACTCAGACCTGCTTTCACCAATCGCACATTTGTCGTAAGCTTTCTCACGTGTTAAAGAGCAGTGAATTTATGGTTCTTTGATGATTATTAACTATCTGTTGAAGATGATAACACGATGTAGGAGATAGACGTCTATTGACCCCTATAGCTGTGATTTGTCAGGTCACCCCGGGGTGGCGCGACTACAGTCGTAAGGTTACAGCGGGGCACCGGACTGGCCGCGATGTCTATCATCTGCTATCTTCATCACGCTTTGTTACAAATGAATTAATTTGTTTTCAGTTTCATTTTGGCAGCAAATCTAATAGTTTTTTAATGTTCCTAAATCAATCAATATGACAGGTTCGATTGACACAAAAATTCAGTTGAAACTAAAACGATTGAAGCTTATTTTGATTAACAAAAACTTCGGATTGGTAACATATTTGGAATACAAATACACCTCCACTCTGTGTATAATTTAGATTAGGAACTCAAAATTAACACTTAATTGATCTTCATTAAAGCCATATTACACCGAGGGAGAAAAACACATGCACAATGTTAAAGTACTAAACGCTTCTCTTTTTAGCAGGTAAACCGCCGAGAAATCTTTAAAAATCAGGTGCCTTGCACTTGAAGAAAAAACGTAAAGTTAATATTTTGATGATTTTTTTTTCTAGATAACCATGGCAACCAATAAACCTGGAAGGATTGCGCTCATCTTCACCACCCTATTCCTGTTCGCCGCAATGACAGCGCTCTCCATACTGAACAAATATTTTGGGAAGGATTTAGGTACGAAAAAATCGCTACTACAAAACCTGGAGGCTAATGATGTAGCCGACAAACCATAATTGGACTAGAATGTCCAATTACAGGCTTTTATTACGATCACGGATTGTGTAAACGAGATTAGTTTTAATCTGCTTACGGACACACTTGCATCCTTGTTCTATCAAAATATTCGATAATTATCAGAGATCCATCTTCTTTTGAAACCAATAGCTGTACTTGTCTATCAATAGTAAGCAGACGATCATCGGCAACAAAACAGATGGGGAGAAACTTCACTGTGCAGGGAAAAAACGCGAAATTCTTTATTATTACAAAAACTCGTTTTCTCAGGAAAACCCCTCCGTCAATTTCATATCCTAACATTCACCTTCCATTAGCAGGAACGCATTTCATATTTTGAATTTTGTGTAACCAAATATTCTTCAGTATTGCTTTTATGTAGGAATACAAGCCATTTTTTGTTTGAACAGAATCCGACTAACATCTGTTCCGACTTTTATTGTAGAAGAATTTTATATCAATGTTAATCAAAGTCTTTAAAGATTAGGGCTGCCAAATTACAATCCAGGATGTGTTTGTGATTGACAAAGAGAACTTATTATTTTAACAGATAACGGTTATTACTTGCCCCCTTGGTAGATTTCAATAGTTCTGCACACTTCCAAGAATGTTAATTGATGTTTTCTGTTGAGTATTGCGTAACAGTATTAATAATGTATACGCAGACATCCCTTTTAAATGTAATTACAGTAATCCATTAGGCACAGTGAGTCGCACGAACATTAGAATATTTCGGAAATTTCAATATCCATATGTATGGATAGATTAAAAAGAAAAGTTAATAGAAGTGTTTCTGATTCAATTTTTGTTACTTTCCCTTTTAGGTATATTCCATCGGTCGACTGGCGATGTTTCTAGGAAGTATCCATTAATGATTACTCCGCCATGGCCGATCTACTTTATATGGTACATAGTGTTCGCACTGGAACTAGTTCTGATTCTTTACGGTATTACGACAATCTGTCGTAAAACGAAGGGCGGGAGGAGTATTTATCTACTGTCTCTCACTCCGCCGCGGATCTACGGTCTTCTGGTCGCCAACAATTTGGCGGTGGTGCTATGGTTATACCTTTGGAACTGGGAATACACAGTGGCATCGTTCATCATCGTCTTCACTCTACCTGTCACCATGTACATCAGCTTCTACACCTCTCTTAAACAGCTCTTCAACAACTTTGCAGTCCTTATTCAGGAAGACACCCAAAGCGAAATATGGGTTGTGAGATTTCTCGTTCAAAATGGCCTTGGATTTATTTCGGCATGGCAGACAATTGTCATGTTCATAAATCTAGGAGTGGTTCTGAGATACGAAGTGGGCATTTCTGATGAAATCATCTTTCTGGCGTTACTAGGCGCTATGGCGTTGCTCGAATTGGCATGGTTCTGGTTGGACGTCTTCGTGTTTGACCGATACACAAGATATATTCTTCTGCCTTATATTCCGTGGCTGGCAGTATGTTGCGGACTTATATGGAAACTACAGACTCTCTTTGACGCATGGGGTAGAGACACCATTACACTTTTCTGCTGTAGCGTGCTTGCGCTACTGTGTATAACTGTCAAGATCATCTTTCTGATCTTCAGACATAAGAAAAGTAACATGAAGAAGAATGTGGACAAAAGTATCGAGGACAAAACCGAGAAGACGGACGACGAAAAGAATTCTGAAATGAAAAATAAAACATGCGTCACTTTTGCTGTTGAGAATGAACAGGTCAACGTCGCAAACGAAAATCAGAAAAAAATACCCGAAAATGAATCTAATAAAGGGCCGTTACAATGTCCTTTAGTACCAGCAAGCGAGGTTCAATATAACAGAATAGAAATGCAAGAACAAGCAGCAGATGCTGCGAACACTGTTATTGTTCACAGTGACGCAAAGGAATCGAACGCTATTGAGACTATTCCAACTTCGGGACCACCAAAACAGGAGGAACCAATGGAAGAAAGTTCTCTTGACAACCATGGTGTTGCAGTTGAAAAAGTGGAGGGTGATAAAAGTGAACAAGCAGAATTACAAGAGGAGGAGTCTATACCAGAAACAGCGGAGGATGAGGCGTTACAACCAGACGTAGTGGGAGAAAGAGTCGAAGAACCGACAGGGGAGGAGAGTGAGGAAAATACTCCCGAGGTACAACCAGAAGTAGAAACTGTACCGTGTCACACAATGGAAAACACAATCCAAGAAACCGTGCCAGAACAAGAGCAAGTGCAAAGCAAATTAAATCCGTCTGAGCAAGAACATGTATCTGACGACATCGAATGTGCAAACCAACCAGAAAAATTAATAGACATTGATGAACAAGAATGTCTAGAACCTAACCAATCAGAGTTTGTATTGGAACCATCGTTAGGAAACGACCTGAATAGTTTAGATCAAATCTCCAAAGAAAATGAAAGAGAAAGTAGACCAATCGATAATGAATCTGTCAATTCAACAACAGCGCAAGTGGACGATCCAATGGAGGATTTTGACGTAGAGAATGAGCCAGTAGACGAGGAACCGGAACTGAACCAGACGCCCCCGCCTCTATTAGAGGACGAGGAATATGAAGGCACCTACATCGTCAGAGAGCCTGGGGTAGAGGACGAGTACCAGTACGATCCCTCGGAGAACGACCAGCAGGACCCCGTCCCTGATGACACTCTACCCTCTCCCCCAGTGTCCCCTGATTCTGACCCCCTCCCTAGTCCGCCCACCGCCCCGGTGTCTGATGGGGAGGAGTATGATGAATCAGAGGGAGAGGAAGCGCCACCCGTCCCACCTCAGGACTATAACATGCCCAACAAATCATATCAAATCTCATCAGAACCCGGCGAGTCCCAGCCGATAACCACCAACGGCTTCAGCGAACAGAGACGACCAGAAAGCTTTGGGACTGTTGACACTGCTGTGTGACTGTAGCTGTGTACATTCAGTTAAATTAGAACAGCTAGAAGAACAACAGTGCAATATCGGAAGGGAGGGGGGGGGGTAGGAAAGTGGAGCTAAGTGCTACTTACTGAAGAATACTCATGACAATTTTATATTGTTTTTGTACAGTTTGTATATATGGGACCATAGTTGTCTGCAACTTCATTTTTTTTTTCAGAGATGCACTTGTCATATATGCTTGATTCAAATAAGACTTGCAAACTTTTTTATTCAAATTAAGCAAAGTGGAGTAAAACAACATAACTGAATATACCTCAAAGTTCAAGTATTTAAGTTTGACAGTGAACTGAAGAGCGGTGTTAATTTTGCTCACTCAAACATCAACGTTACTTGGGTGAAACTATTCTTTTAAATAACGGGGATTTATTTTTGTTTGGAAAAAAAGAGACAAAATATCTGTAGTCTTATGAATCATGCATAATTCATACACAATAGAAATTGCTTTCATTTACTAATATCTTTTACTTTTTAGCAATAATCAATTGTCATTGAATGCATATATAGGCCTACATGACATTATTATTCGTGCACTCGATCTGACAATTGAAAATCGCTTGGTAAAAGACGCATTATTGACTCGTCTTGTACATGTTCTTGTTTTCATGTCTACCTCTGCCTTCTTTGTCGGACATAATTGTACATTGTATTTTCATTTTGCTATCCATTGTACATATTCACTTGTGTTTTCAAATCATATAGATTTTGAAATAAAATAGACAATTAGGTATAATGATTATGTGTTGTACATCAACATATAAAGTTGAAACGACTTTTGGCGAACTCTCAAGTGACGCGTTGCATCGTTTAAGACCTTTCTGATTATGCATACACTATGCTTTGTACAGCTCAAGTCAGCCAGGTTTAGACAACGAAAGTGAAAAGAAAGACCAATTGCAACTCATATTTATTCAGATTTTATTCAGATTTCAAACATTTTAATACAAGGTACATATACGAAGATATATATACAATCACATGATAGCAGTAAAAATTCAATAAGTCCTCGTCTAAAGGTTTTCAAGGACTTTGTCATAAACGCTATCACAGTCAGTCAACCTTTGTAATGTACTTTCAGGAAGGAAACGCTACATTGATGAGTTGCAAATTATTTTATACGAACATTTTATAATTATTGTATGAGAACAATCTTTTACACATGTAACACAAAACAGAAACTTTAAATAACGCCCAGAATGAGATACGGTACTAGGCTAGGAGTTAACAAAATGTTTACAACGTTAGTGGTCTCGGATTGATGTGCAGTCCTAGAACCATTTTGGATAAACCGTGGTTACAAACAAACAGACGCAATTGGGAGAATTATATATATACACAATTAAGAGAAACTTTCAAATTCTTCGCGATATTCAGAACTCGTTTTGTTCTAATCCGTCACATTCAATATGCTATCTAAATGACGTGTTTGCTGATCTATGACGTATACTCGGTCAGCCATTCCTCCACCTCCTCCACGTGGTAACCCTGTGGTCCCCTCTCTCCCAGATACACCACCACGTCATCCAGGACGATGTACAGACGCTCGTACATGGCGCCATATTTGTAATTCAATGTATTTGAAAAATTATCTGCCACGACTGGACAGTTTGGTTGATATTTCATTAAGGTTTCTACTGCCTTTATTCGATCATTAATCCCCGTGTGATTATTGATATCAAAATTGTTTTTGAACTTCCACCCATCACTGGGATGTGCTTCTGTAATGTACACAATTAAAAAATCTGCCACATGACCAAAGCGAGCTATCAATTTCTTGAAATGCTCTAGCTTCTTCATGAACGGGGGTCAAGTGCAGCTCCCAAAGTTTATAACAAGTGGTCTGTTTTGTCTGCCAAATTCAAGCAGACGTTTCTTCTCCAAATTAGAAGTAATGACGTCACCATCTGGAGCTTTACCGTGTAGCTCCGCCTCCCGAAAAACGTCAAAAAGGCGGCTTCTTATCATTGCCCTTAAATGAGCAAAGGTATAGACTGTATCCTTCCAGTCGTCTTCTTTAAGATAGCTCTCTGCCATTATTTCTCGAAATTCCCTGAACATAGTTTGGTCGATAGAAGGAATATATTTTCCAAACATGATCATAAAGGCTGCTTGGAAGGAAAATCGAATTAGGCGCAAGAGGCGCAAAATAACTTTTAGACAGTACCTCATCTACAATAAAGGACAGGTATATCAATTTGATTTATTCAGCAGTATGTCTTTAAAATTCTTTGACAAGCAAGGCAGACCCTCCCCCCCCCTTCCAAAAAAGGGACAAAAAGAAAGAGATGGTAGCAAATGATGAGTAAGGATGCCTTTTTCTAAATTGTAAAAATGTGCAAGTGTCAGAGGTTCTAGTGTTAGGAAGACTGTTAATGTTCTTATTTGTTGCTGCTTATTAAGAAAACGAACATATAGACTATTTGAAATATGAACACGCTATCTCTATTTTTGAAAAGTAGCTAAAACTTCAAGGTCAAGGTTACAGGGTAAAAAATCATAGTACTAGTATATTTATAATAAAAAGGCATGGTCGCGGGTAATATTTTGTTTGCTGTTTAATGTCACTCTCGAGAATTTTTCACAAATATGGAGACGTCACTTGCCTGTGGAGAGCTGCACATTTAGTCCTATACTCGGCACTTCGGACCATTGAGCAGGGGGGTCTTTTTCGTACCAGCACCTTCTGCGACACGGGACCTCGGTTTATACCGTCTCATCCGAAGGACCGGTCTCCGCGTCCCACAGTGAGATTCGAACCAGCGACGCAAGAATCAGCTCCTTACTCCGTGATGCTAGAACAGATGCTCTAACAGTAACCACTGCTCAATGTGGGTCGCGGGTAATATACCTGTTTAGTGTGAAAGTCATATCTTTTCTCTTTCAAAAGCTATCACAAAGTAAACATAATGTTCAATTTTTTTTAAAAAGTAGGTCAAGGTCATGGCCATGGCGTCAAAAATCAAAGTATATTTGGAAATGTCTTATCACTGTTACACGTAATGTACATATTAAACATGACAATCCATATCTCTTTTCATTTCAAGATATGACAGAGTTTAAAGTTTTTGTGACAGACGGACAGCTAGACAGACATATGAGATATAATCTCCCCTCGCTTTCGCGAAAGCGGGAGACAATAAAATGAATTAGTGTCAACAAAATTGTCTAGTACTCTATAAGAAATCTTAAAGAAGATCAATTTACTTGCCTGTGCTTGCTCGAATTTGTCACCATCACAGTATTATGTATTTTAAAAAATTATATGGTCGATTCAACACAAACCCGGGGCCACCTTAACACTAGATCCCATGATGGAGCTATGAAAATAGAGCCTTAGTCCTTAATTAAGCAATTAGTTGAAGATTTTCAAATGATTTACTTGTATACATTTTCAATACATATTCAAAAGAGCTTCGATCATCCTAACACCAGAGAACCCCTGTCCTTGGGCCATTTATTTTTTACATTTTTCGAAAGGGTGCCTTTGGTCATCATTACAATGCATTTAGATTGCTTGCTTAAAATTAAGGAGCAGAGAAAGATTTTCAAAGAAATAACCATATTGCAGTATTTTTACTACATTGTGTATATAACCAAAAGAGTTCCACTGTAATACGTACCAGACCCCCTGACACAAGGGACATGAAGTTCACAATTTGACAAGGAGGTGCCTTTGCACATAAAAAATGCATTTAGTTCGTTTGCTTTTGCGGGGGACAATAATAGCATGCCATCCACTAAGACTAAACCGAAAGCGGGGGGGGGGGGGGCACTTCTTTGAATTTGCTTATTTCTCTAATTTGCAATTCTGGGCATTATAACGCATCTAATCAGTTCACGTCCCACTTTCACGAAAGCGAGGGGATATTTAATCTTTTCATAAGTCACTCTGTCCGTCTGTTACAAAAACTTAAAACCCTAGTCATAACTTTTGAATGAGAAGAGATATATGACTTTCATATTTCACGTACATTACGTGTGATACGGCCTTTCCAAGTACTAGTATATTGTCGGAGTATTTTTGACCCTGTGACCTTGACTTAATTTTAACATTACTTTAAATTGTTCACAGCATTTGAGAGAAAAAAGAGCTTTCATACTGAATATCTCTATAGCTTGTGACAAGACCTTTCTATACATTGACCTTGAAGTTTAACCTTCTTTTCAAAATTGTTATCTTTCCTTAAAACTTTTAATTAAGAAGAGATGGGGATTTTATATTTGACATGTGTTTTACCTGTGACTCGATGTTTCCGAGCATGGTTTGAATTTCATACCCTTTGACCTTGACCTTCAAGATTAACCTAATATTTTAAAAATTAAAACGTTGGTGTTTTTTAATGGCATATGACAGAGCGTTCATATTTGAAACAATATACCATAAATACATGTAATTGCATCCTATGCACTAAAACACCGAAACGGGGGACCACGTACAGTTCTTTGAATTTTGATTTATTTTTTTACTTCAGCATTGTATATATTTTACTCAGGTGAACGTTAAGGCCCTTTGGGTCTTTTGTTTTCTATTGTATCTTACAACTTGCGAGTTACCCGTGCTTCCCGGAGAGAAGGGATTTAAGGTCACCTTTTAAGGTTACTTCACGTTATAACCTGCCCAACTCTGCAAATCCCTGCAGCCCCCGTAGGATTTCATTATTCTATATTCATCAAAATGATTAAATGTAAACAAAAACAAATACCTTAATTTTCTGTGCAAATTGACATCGTTGGACGAACACCAGTTTTATCTACCTGTTGACCGACACGTGATTTAGAAACGTTTGCTTTTCTGCTATCATGCCTTCTTGACACGAAGGCATATTTAGGGCATGCAAATATTTTTAATGAAACAGCTGGGCCATTATGATGGTATTACCTTTTAAAATATAAAATTTCGTCCTGTTGTTATTCCGTCACAGTAACTTTTCCAGGCTTTTACTTAGATAACTTGTTAGATTACTTTATAGTGTGAACTATTAAAAAATGTCGTTTGGGTTTTATATTTGATGTTTTTGTTAAGGGAATTCAAGACCGCCACGAAATGTAAAATTTCAAATGTATTACATCTCAACGCTTCTCCAACTACGAAATAAAATCCCCCCAACCAATTCTTCTTCCTCAAACCTAAAAAAAATTGACCCCACGAAAAAATGTGACTTTACGTACAATATTGATGACTAACATACAGAAAAAAATGAGTTTCATGTTTTTTTTTTAATTTTACAAAAGTTTTGGCCTTTATAAGGTATCTTTTTCCAGGAAGTTTTCTTTTCTTTGCATTTAGATATTTTGGGGTATGTTTCTTGATATCTTAGCAATAGGTGTCGGAAGCAAGTATTGAAAGTGGAGCACTAATTGAAAGGGGGGGGCTCATCCAACAAAAAAGGTAAACCCCAATTTTCAATGCCTATATTATGCATATATTTGCAAAAAAAGTGCCCCCTCCCGATTCTGCCGATTCCGACGCCCATGGATATTGAGGACATTCAGATAACGATTTCGTTTTATGTGAACTGACCTTTTTTAATTTAATTATTTATTATTGGCCCTTATGTTTGATTTTTTTTTATATTTAGTTAAATAATTACACCCCCAACCCAATCAAATAATATTCAAAAAATATGTATGCTTTCCTGAAAACCTATGATATCGTCTGGGAACGTAAATCAAAGAGTTGATCATGTTGATTACCAATGGAGGAAATAAAATCTAATTTTTATTGGGTACTTGTATTTGAAAATCTTATAAACTTGCAAGAATGTACATGTCTTTATATATTCTAGCTGCAGAACTGTAGCTCTCCGATTTTTTTTTTTTCGGAGAGCTACAGTTCGGCAGCTATATATATTCCGGATGTTAAAATATTGTTCAGAATGGTTTATTTTTTATTGGCAATCCTCACACTTCCAGTTTGAGCTTAACCAAAACATGAAACATTTCTATTCGTTACTGTATGTTTTCGTGAACGTTGGCGTAGTTTCATCACCTATCGCCTTCCTATGAAGACATGGCGTTCAAAATGTTCGAAGCTGGCGTGATCATTGGGTTTTACAGTTACATATGCTTTTTCTGGAACCAAGAGTCAATAAATGAAACACACCACTTTAAAACTCTAGGTATGTTATTTTGATGTAAAATTTACATGTGGCTAAGCAAGTATGAAGTAATTAACATTAATTTAGAATATGTTTTATGCTTTATTATTTCTTTCTAAATTCTTTTCAATATGTCCCGTCTGTCCAAGCTTGAATAAAAAATAATCCTTTTATGTTGGATTATTGAAGCAATATTCTTGCATGTAATTTGTTCTTAACAGGCTTTACGGTTTGTTTAATGCTTCTTCTGTCCCTTCATCAAATTGTCCCAGTCATTCATAGAAAGGCTGCAGAGACAACAGGGGCCTCCAAACAGCCACAGATTTACAGGTAAAAGTGTACCATTATTTTCACACCGTTTAACAAAATAATTTTGCCACATGATTCCAATATACCTAAGATGCAGTATTTCATAGCAACATTTCATTAAGCTAATAACCTCAACAAATTAGAGGTAATCTTCTGCTTTACTCTGCATTGGCTTCCTGGTTCTAATTTACTGCACCATATGGATGATCCGTGTAAAATAATCCACTGCCAGACTTGCTTTCAGATCACATGCATTTTTTTGCAAACATGGCACCACATACTTATTTTTGGTACAAATATATAGGGGATGCCCTGTATACAAAACAAATGCCTGTTTTTAAGATGATAATGTTCATTTGTGAAAAATTTCAAGATCATAAAAGGTTAGGTTGTAAGTTTACTACTTATATTACAGTAGTACAGAATTTATGCATTCAGTGTAATAATGTATAGTGAAGTCACTCAATGAATTCTATTTACATGTACACTGATGTTTGAACAGAAGTAAGAGTGATCCAGGACTATGGTGTAGCTTACTAATACCACTAGCTTTCACAACAAACTCTTTTTTACGTAAGTTACAAGATAAATCACATATGGTTGCGTTATTTACATTTTTACATATAGTATAATACATTGTATGTAAATGTTCTCTTGGTTTTGAAACATATTTATACAATTCATTTTAAACTTATTAATAAGTAGACTTCAAAACAGATGGTGATACCTTCATTCTTCTATGAATTGCCACTTATGTAGAATGAGATTTTAATGATTACTTTATTTTTTACAGAAAAAGAAGTTGATAATATGCCAGTGATGTTGGGCCTGGTGTCTGTGGTGTTAGTTTTAGTACATTTTAATCCATCAACTATCACTCAGTTAACTTGTGCTGGATTGCTGTACTGGTTCAGGGAAGACTTTCTTTCTAAAGGTACAATTTTATTTTCTGATGTTGACAAAATGCTGTACACATTATCAAAACTTCTTGCAATTAGAATTAAAATCCTAACAAAACTGACAGTTTTCATTTTGATTCCAGGAAGACCAGAACAAATAGTGTTTGTTTTGTTATGTGTTGTTGTTTACATTCTGCTTGGTAAAATACCAGCTACATTTCCAAAGTCCTTCACCGAGGGAGAGTTAGCTGTTTGTTTGCAAACATTGATCATCCCTCTATATCCCATACTGGTTATCTCATACAAGGCAAGGGAATGACCTTTTCATCTTCTTTTCAAAATGCACATTTCCAGTAAACCATTAAAATTGTATTTTTATGTTTAAATGAAGAAAGAAGAATATCAAAATTTGATTCATATTTCTTTATAGGCATTGAGGAGAGGTGTTCACAGCATAAGTTTACCCACAAGTCTCTCTATACCACTTGTAAGTTATCTTATAATCAGCATCTATCACAATGTGAAGGCTATACTTTTTCATGATAAAAAAAGAAGAAAAAAAATTATTAGTAAATGAACTGACATATTTTTTCTTTGCAGTTAGCTTATGTAGGAGTGTTGTCAGGGACTGTTTTTATTTGTGTGATCCGCATCAATAACAGTGGTCTGCGTTTTGTGTTGTCGTATACTCTGGCAGCTGTAGCCGTAGTTTTGCCAATTTTAGTCAAGTTATTTGGTACACCACTCCCCTACAGAGCAATATTCCTGTTTCTAACTCAGTCTCAAACCAGGGTAAGTCATGTTAGGAATGTATGCTGTATTTTAGATTTAGTCTAATCAACAATTACAATTGTATGTGTATATATTATATTACATGTATAAATGGTTGAAAATTGAACCTCTATTATACATATATTTGTTCATTTTATTGTTTTTATTTTAAGAATTAACAAGCACTGTTACTGCTACCCATTATTTATAGGTTTACCTTCTTTGTTGGTGGAGCATCCTGGTACTCGTCAGTCTTGGCATTGCTGTGATAAACCAGAACAACAAAATGTCCAAGAGCTGGTCATCAAGTGTACGGAAAGCATTCCACTTCCTGATACTTAGTGTGTATGTACCAGGATTGATATACGATGCACCCCTGTTGTTTGCAGCTTCATGGGTGGCTCTGGGATGCATGATTATAGCAGAGGTACCAATAATAAATATCACTACATGTATAGGCTATAAATATTTGTTTGATACAGCATATTGTACATTTTTGTCACACAATTGTAATATTCATTTTCAGACTCTGAGACTCTTGGAGGTCCCTTTCTTCGGTCCATTCCTCCATGACTGTTACTCTGTGTTTCTGGATTCTCAGGATGAAGGGAGGCTGGTTCTGACCCCTATTTACCTTCTGTGTGGCCTCTCATTCCCTCTCTGGATCCACACATACCAATGTACGATTTGTCTGTTATACCATGCAGTTTAATGTTCCTGATTGCTTTAGACTTCAGTTTTCAATTCTCTGTTTACTAGGGTGTGATTTCAGCGATGTCTTACCACTATTTGCTGGAGTTTTGTCCGTTGGGGTCGGAGACACCATGGCCTCTATTGTTGGCAGTGCGGTTGGGAAGCATAAGATGTTTGGTAAATAAAAGTGGAAGAGATTTTTCTTATTTTAGTAGTCTCAGATGTTGATCTTCCTCTTATTAGCTCACCTGAGCCGAAGGCTCAAGTGAGCTTTTCTGATCAAAATTTGTCCGTCGTCTGTCGTCGTCGTTGTCGTCGGCGTCGGTGTAAACTTTTCACATTTTCATCTTCTTCTCAAGAACCACTGGGCCAATTTCAACCAAACTTGGCACAAAGTATCCTTGGGTGAAGGGGAATCAAGTTTGTTCAAATGAAGGGCCACGCCCCCTTCCAAGGGGAGATAATTATGAATTTGTGAAAAATTTATGGCATTTTTAAAAAATCTTCTTCTCCAGAACCGCTGGGCCAGGAAAGATGAAACACATGTGGAAGCATCCTCAGGTAGTGTAGATTCAAGTTTGTTCAAATCATGACCCCCGGGGCAAGGGTGGGGCCAAAATGGCCGACCCAAGTTTTACATAGGAATATATAGGAAAAATCTTTTAAAATCTTCTTCTCCAGTACCACTGGGCCAGGAAAGATGAAACTCATGTGGAATCATCCTCAGGTAGTGTGGATTCAAGTTTGTTCAAATCATGACCCCCAGGGCAAGGGTGGGGCCAAAATGGCCGACACGAGTTTTACATAGGAATATATAGGAAAAATCTTTAAAAATCTTTTTCTCCAGAACCACTGGGCCAGGAAAGATGAAACTCATGTGGAATCATCCTCAGGTAGAGCAGATTTCAGTTTGTTCAAATCATGACCCCCCGGGGCAAAGGTGGGGCCAAAATGGCCGACCCAAGTTTTACATAGGAATATATAGGAAAAATCTTTAAAAATCTTCTTCTCCAGAACCACTGGACCAGGAAAGATGAAACTCATGTGGAATCATCCTCAGGTAGAGCAGATTTCAGTTTGTTCAAATCATGACCCCCCGGGGCAAAGGTGGGGCCAAAATGGCTGACCCAAGTTTTACATAGGAATATATAGGAAAAATCTTTAAAAATCTTCTTCTCCAGAACCACTGGGCCAGGAGAGATGAAACTCATGTGGAATCATCCTCAGGTAGTGTAGATTCTAGTTTGTTCAAATGATGAACGCCTGGGGGGTGGGGGGGGGTGGAGTAAATTTAAGCCTGATGTGCTCAGGTGAGCGCTGTGGCCCCTGGGCCTCTTGTTGGTATTATTTTTCCTCCTCTTTGTAGGAAGTCAGAAGTCAGTTGAAGGGACTGCAGCTTCCATTATATTCCAGCTCATTTTTATATTCATGTTGGGTCACTTCAGTAAGTTTATATATAAATATTAAAGGAGTGATAAAAGATTTTTAACATTCGATCCCAAATTATTTGCAAACAACAAACAAACCCTTATTATAACTATTTTTCAGAGTTAATATTATATAAATTAGTAATTTGCCTCTTAAATTGTAATTACAGTTAGTTTTGCACATATTTCAAATGAGTTAACATGTTGACAATGATTGTATTTGATAGTTCCAGGTGGGGTTTTACACAATCATTTTCTATCCGTGGCTGGAATCATCTCAGTTACTTCCCTTCTTGAGGCCACCACATCACAAATAGACAATCATGTGCTTCCTTTGTTTATGTATAATCTGTTGATCACTCTGAAGTCATGACAAAAACTTAATTAAAAATGAAAAACACAGGCTCAATGTTATTGTGCTGGTGATTATTTTAAGTCTAATTCCAGGCAGCTCTAATCATGTGAATGATAGAGCAATTGGTGCAGAGGGATACCTGCATATTGTGCTGTGATCAAATACCAGAAATAAAATTGTTTATGTTTGTTGATAATTATACATTTATGTAACTTGATGAGCTTCAAATATTAAAATTTGCTCAGACATTGATTTAAGCTTTTGAACACTGTCAAAATGCTAAAAAAAGACAACTAGAGGTACTGTGAGCACTTAGCTCACTAAATGATACCCCCAGCCTCCTATATGTTTATATTGGTAGAATACATGTTTTGCTCTGGGATACCCGAAATAAGAGTCAGATCAAAATTTAGAACTTAGATTAAATTCTACAAGTGGTAATCCAACTTATACTCATAGTTCCCTTTCAAAGGAAGAAAGTCTTCAAAATCATATGTCAGTTTTGAATATTTTTAATATTCCAAAGAACCAAAATGAATTTGAACTACCATATGTATATATTGGATTCTGAAACTTCATAAGAATCCTTACAAACAAAGATACATAGAGGATTCCAGTAAAATATTTAATGTTCAACCAATTCTTTTTGTTTACTCCTCACAAAGATATTAAAAGTAGTGAAGGAGACACTTCAAGAGGGATATCCGTGAAGGAGAAACTTCAAGAGTACTGTACAACAATATATTCAAATTTTGGTGTAAATCAGATACTTAAAAAATCCAAGGAACTATGGACAATTTGAAATCACAAGATTATACCAAAATCATCGTCGCAAACCACGGGTTTTGAGTCCGCAAGCTTCCTCAAAGAGAGAATCGACGTGAATCACCCGTGGGTTACCGACGATGTACAAAATCAACAGCGTAAAAACTTACGACTTGTCAACTTTATAAACAACAATTTCCCACGATAAATTAAAGTCCAGGGTTTTTGATATCATTGACAGCTGCTTTTTCAATAAAAATGGAACTTGTAAATTTACTTTTGCCAATGGCGCCCCCTTATTAGCAGACCTATTTTTGTATTCATATGAAGCAGAATTTTTGCAAAATCTGATGCGTGATAAGAAGGAAACACTTGCTGTGGCTCTTAACTCGACATTTAGATATATCGACAGCATATTGTCAATTAACCATGGTAATTTCCATTCCTATGTCGATACGATATATCCTGCTGAGCATGAGAAAAAAGATACCACAGAGTCTGACACATCTATTTCATATTTGGATATATTACTTGAATAGACATTAATGGTAATCTAACAACAAAGTTCTATGATTAACGTGATGACTTGAACTTCCCTTACTTATGCAGCAAAATACCTTCATCACCTGCATAAGGAGTTTATATATCTCAGTTCATTCGATACGCAAGAGCATGTTC